GTACATAATTCTACATTTGTAAGTTCAACTTTCATGATAAAGAGATTGCACTACAGTACTTGTATTAGGTGAATTGAAATATACTATTTCTTTTGTTTTTTACAGAGCAAATATTTGTAATCAAACATAAATATAAAGTGAGCACTGTACACTTTGTATTCTGTGTTGTAATTGAAATCAATATATTTGAAAATGTAGAAAACTTCCAAAAATATTTAAATAAATTGTATTCTATTATTGTTTAATAGCACGATTAATCACGTTTAATTGTTTTAAACGCTTGACAGCCCTAATAATAACATATACAAAGATGGTATTTGGAGTTCAAGGAGAAATGTGAAACTGGTCATTCCCTGCCAAGCTGCAGAGCATGAACTCAGCTCCGTGAAACACTCTTGTAATGTCCCTCTACAGGGCCTAGAGGGAACAAACACACAGGGCATTCTTTATCGATGGAAACACACACACACACAGGCCCTGTAGTTCTCTGTCTCATGGGGACACCGTTTGTTTTGCACAGCTAGGTCTCAATTAAACTCTGACTCTTTGTGTCCCTGTTAGTAGGCCACATGCCACGCCAAGACCACAAAGTACGGGTAGTTTTAGGGTCTCGGAGAGTTCACTAACCATTGCACTGTGCAGGGCACTAGCACAGCATGTGTGATGTGGAAAATCCCTGCTCCAAAGATGATGAATAGTTGCAAAAGGTGTTACCGTGTTAATCTGGATCCTAGTAGCTGATTCCCAGAGGTCTGAGTCTGTGACTGCTTCAAACTAAAGGACTTAGTCCTGTTCCTGAGATGGCAGAGGCTCATGTTTTCAGTGCTGACGGTCATGGGTTCGGACTCTGACATCATCCTGAATGTACACTCATCCAATCAGAGGGGGAGGGATAGCTCAGTGGTTTGAGCCTACTAAACCCAGAGTTGCGAGTTCAATCCTCGAGGGGGCCATTTAGGGATCGGGGCAAAAATCTGTCTGGGGATTGGTGCTGATCTGAGCAGGGAGTTGGATCTCCTGATGTTCCATGATTCTATCAGTTACTGCATCTGACCAGTCAGAGCTCCCTGATAGAACTCCCATAATTGTTTGTGATGAATGGGACTTTTCAAGTGAGTGAAGTTAAACAGAGGTGTAAGCCTTGGCTTTGCCTGTCAAGGAGCCTTAAGCTCCTGTGTCATTTAGACCTTAGCAACACTGAGCAAAGTATCTCTACAAATCTGGGCTTTAGAACCTAAACCTGGGTGCAGGAGCCTAACTTGAAGCTCTTAATTAACTCCTAGCCATACACCTTTACAGACTCTGTCTATTACTGATCTCTACCTGGAGAGAAGACATTTTAGAAGCACTATTGTAGAAAGAATTTCAAGAGAAAAGGAGGGTCATTGATATGCAAAGATACTCCTGAATGTTTAAATCTAGACATTTTCCATTCCAAAAGGAGAGCAACTCAGAGTTCTATCCTCTCTGAAATCTTGTGTTGGGAGGAATTGCAGTGTTGCCAACGGTCACAATTTTATCATATTTCACAATATTTGGAGACTTTCTTAAAGTCCCAACTCCTGGAGTTAAGTGATTAGGTGGGACTCTCAGCTTCCATTGTTTTAAAAGATGTTTCTAGCTTAATGGTTCCAAAGAAAAGCTTGAAAATGTGACCCAAATGGACCTTAGAGAGAGACAAACCAGAAGGCAAATGGAATGAACTTCAAATGTATTCTTTGGCTTAAAAATCATGATTTTAAAAAAAATAATCTCCTGATTTTTGCGGTTCTGACGCATGATTTTTCGACACTTGGGTAGGTAATACTGAAAATGCACTCTGGCTTATAGTATCAGAGGGTAGCTGTTTTAGTCTGGATATTTATACCTGCCTCTGGAAATTTCCACTACATGCATCTGATGAAGTGGGTATTCACCCACGAAAGCTTATGCTCCAATGCGTCTGTTAGTCTATAACAGGGGTCGGCAACCTTTCAGAAGTGCTGTGCCGAGTCTTCATTTATTCACTCTAATTTAAGGTTTCGTGTGCCAGTAATACATTTTAATGTTTTTAGAAGGTCTCTTTCTAGAAGTCTATAATATATAACTAAACTATTGTATGTAAAGTTAATAAGGTTT